GTTATGTGGGGTTTTCTCAAGGATAGTCTACACAACATCACCAAGAGATTGATAATCTAAGGGCCAGGATTGTTGCAGCAGTGGGGGATCTAAGGGGACAGAGAGACATCATCGGGGATGCAGTATGTGCGATGAGATTTAGTGCAGACATTTGCATTGAAAGGAATGGAGGTCATGTTGAAGGACAGTGTGGTTAAAACAACTTTGAATTTAAAAGGGGTGCTAAATATGATATGTATAACTTTAATTGGAATAAATTTATAAAAAGTTATATCCTGATGTTTGCTGTTACTTATCACTATATTATGATGGTGAAATTGACTTGGCTGAAAGTGGCACAAACCCAATTAAGTCCCTCATTACTCAGTCATCTGTGGAGGAAAATGGAACATTCTGGTATCATATGAAAGAAGACATACAGGGTGAGCCAAAATAAATTGGAACATTTTTCTATTTATTCAATTTTCTTTATTATTGCAGTTAAGTCCACAAAAATTCAGATAATGGTAAGATGATTATTTGTGAAAATGTTAATGATAAAAATATGTATGAATGATTATTTTTGGCTTGTCATGGTCATGATCTGTATAATGAGTGCGTCATGAAAAATTTCCAAATTTTCCCTGCTTGTGACATCATTGCTGAAAGTACAGGATCTCATACCATATAATATATCTCCTTCAAATGGTCTCAACACAATTACCATCAATCAAACATATGTCCCCTGGAAAATATACCTATTAACTGACCCAAGCTTTCTTGCAAAACTGACACAATATGTCTCAAACCTATTATTTACGCCACACATGACTGCCAAATACAGCTCAGCCCGATTGTTCAGGTAGGTGGGGGACATGTTCAGTAATTAAATGTTGAGCTTGTATATTCATATAAAGTGTTGACAACAAATTGTTTAAAACTCCTAAAGTATGGACGATAATACATGACAAACAAAAAAGTTACAATCAATGGAAAATGTTCCAGTTTTTTTTACTCAACGCAAGGGTTTCCTGAACATGTCCTCTTCCCTCCTGAACAATCAGTCTGGGCTGTATTTGACAGTGATACATGGCTTAAATTACAGGTTTTGAGACACATTGTGCCAGTTTCGAAAAAAGCTGAAGTCAGTTAAGGTATATTTTCCAGGGGACACATGTCTAGATTCTCCCAGAGATATTAAGGTATGTTTTGATTGATGGTAATTGTGTTGAGACCATTTGAAGGAGATATATTATATGGTATGAGATCCTGTATTTTCAGCAATGACCATGTTTAAACGTAAACCATGATACCATGGTATACCATGGTTTACCATGGTCTATCATGATCGGCAATGAAATTACCATCAACTCTGACCATGGTGGCAATGATGTTTTTTGGTCAATTTTTGACCATGGTATACCATGGTATATCATGTTATACCATGTTTCATGGTATTTCAAGTTCAAAGTTAACCATCAAATACCATGGTATTATCATGGTAGTTCATTGCTATGTTCCCGACCATCATTTACCATGGTATTACCATGGTATATTATGGTTGATTGCATTTCATTGTAAGATGTGAGAATCAAATACCATGGTATTTCAATGCCATGTTCCTGACCATAATTTACCATGGTATATCATGGTTGATTGCATGTCATTATAAGATGTGACAATCAAATACCATGGTCATACCATGGTATTTCATTGCCATGTGCCTGACCATCATCCACCATGGTATTACCATTGTATATCATGGTTGATGGTATTTCATTGTATGATGTGACAATCAAATGCCATGGTCATACCATGATATTTTATTGTTATGCACCTGACCATCATTAATTATGGTATTACCATGGTATATCATGGTTGATGACATTTCATGGCATTTCATTATACCGTGTGACAATCAATTACCATGGTAATACCATGTCATTTCATTGCCAAAATCATAACCCTCATTTATCATGGTTTTATCATTGCATTTCATGGTTGGTGGTATTTCATGGCATTTTATTGTCAAACCTGACCATCAAATACTATGGTTGTACCATGGTGAAATCATTGCCATAATCATAACTATAATTTATCATGGCATATCATTGCATTTCGTGGTTTATTGTATTTCATAGCATTTCATTGTCAAACCTGACCATCAAATACCATGGTTATACCATGGTATTTCATTGCCAAAAGAACTCTAGAAGAGTGTCAAGTCTAAAATTGGTCAGAGTTGAAATGGATCATGAAATGCAATGAAATACAACGTTTAACCATGAAATGCAATGAAATACAATGATTAATCATGATATGCAATGAAATGGAATTGTCTTTCTTGCAATGCAGTGAAATACAATGAAAGACCATGTTCAAAAAGTATTTTTTACATGAAATATCTTTATTAATAAATGTTAATTAGATAACCAAATTATTATAATTAGTGAATCTGATATTCATCAAAATCACAACTTTATATACTTTTGTTCCTTTATTTAATGAATTAATTTCTATTATGAATAATTAAGTTACTAATCCTAGAAACAATTTTTTTGTTAAACAAATATGCTTTACTTTTATTTGACTGTTGTCGGTAAAATTGGACATCAAGTTAATAATTTGTAGGTCCAACCTCCAGTCTTCGATTAAACATCTTTACTGTATTTCATTGCATTTGATGGTTTGCAACCATGAAATACTGCATAATAGCAGTATATTTAAATGCAAAATCTTAAGTATGGTGACCATGGTATACCATGGTAGATTATGAAAATTAAATGGCTCCATTGCATATCATGGTTGAATGTCTGGACCATGATATCACTGCATTTGATGGTATTGCACCATGAAATACTGATATTTTTTAGATACAAAATTACATGTTAATTGACTATGGTATACCATGGTATATCATGATCGTTAAATGGCACCATTGCATTTCATGGTCAGGAGCTTTTAACATGGAGTTTCCCATTGAAAAAATACTGCCCTTTCGCAGTATTTCATGGTCAGAAACCATCAAATGCAATGACACGTCGCAAAAAGTTCGCGCACGTATTGTTGCACATTTTCGCGTTTAAACACCACAGAATGTGACGTTTTTTGAGAAAAAATGTACACATATGGGAATCCTTTCGTCCTCCACATTTGCCTCTATATCTCAAAATATTTAAGGCGAATAACTCTGATATCGTATATGTATTAACAATGGGTTAGGAGCATCATAAAACACGAATCAATTGATATTTTAGTTGAAATAAATATACTTGTTGCTGTGCTTGAAAATAGGCGAATGGCGTAAATTAGCCCTATTTTAATGAATTTTGAAAACCTTTCGTCCTCCACTTTTCCACATACAACAGAAAACGCATACTTTTGCGAACAAAATCAACTATTTATTGATAAACTAGAGTTTAAGAGCAAAATAATCATGTATGATTTATTAAAAATTGATCTCGTATTTTTTGTTTAATGTACACCTGAAAAGTTAAAGGTAATAAAAAATGAGCAAAAAAGGTCGATGTCAACAGATTCTATTTTTCAAACTCTATGACGTCACAATATGGGACGCTTACTAAAATTCATCCTTTGAAATAAAACTTCCATCTACCTTTATCAAGACGAAAAATAAGTAAAATAGTCATATAGGCCTATTGTTTGAGTTATGAGCGTTTAAATACGAAAAATAATTCAAAATGTAACGTGTCAACAGGGGATATTTGCCAGATGTTTTGGTAAAACACTCTTTTTAAAAAAAAACGCGCAAAAATTGTGAACGGAGTTTAGTTGATCTAAAACCTTCATCGAAACAGCTTTAAAATGATATATAACTTTATTTAGAATATTATCTTATAATCCGGGGAATCAAAATTACATTCACGCGATACCCTTAAAAAACAAATGCGCCACCTTTTTGCGACACGTCAATGATATCATGGTCAAGAAACCATCAAATGCAATGATATCATGGTCGAGAACTTGACCATGATATCATTGCATTTGATAGTTTCTGACCATGAAATACTGCGAAACGGCAGTATTTTTTCAATGGAAAACTCAATGTTAAAAACGCGCTGTTAACCATGAAATGCAATGGTGCCATTTAACGTTCATGATCGGCCATGGTATTTCATTGCATTTCATGGCCATATACCATGGTATACCATTGGTCATACCATGGTATACCATGGTATGGCAATGGTGCATTTCAACATGGGATGTCACAAGCAGGGAAATTTTGGAAAATTTTCATGACGCACTCGTTATACAGATCATGACCATAACAAGCCAAAAATAATCATTCATACATATTTTTATCATTAACATTTTCACAAATAATCATTTTACCATTATCTGAATTTTTGTGGACTTAACTGCAATAATAAAGAAAATTGAATAAATAAAAAAATGTTCCAAGACATGTCTTGCTTCTCCTAGAGATAACTACATATGTTTTAATTGATGGAAATTATGTTAAGACCATTTGAAGGGTACATATTGTATGACATGAAAGACTCTGTGTTTTCAGCAGTGATGTCTCAAAGAAAGAAAATTGGAAAATTTTCATGACGCACGCAGTATACAGATCCTGACGATGACAAGCCAAAAATAATCAAACATACATATTTTTATCTTTAACATTTTCACAAATAATCATTTTACCATTGTCTAAATTTTTGTGGATTGAACTGCAAAAATAAAGAAAATTGAATAAATAGAAAAATGTTCCAATTTTTTTGGGCCCACCCTGTAAAGACGTAAATGATAGTGAGTACCTCCAAATTGTCCCTAACATTATTCATCTTTGAGATATAAGCATTTTAATCTCACTTTCCTTTTTTGAGACACCCTGTACATGTACATTTTTCTCAAAATATTGCTAAGCTCTTGTTAACTTCAAACAGGAATCTAATGCAATAAATTAGCAACAACTCATTGAGACATGGGCAATAATATTATAGCATATCCTAAAATAGGTCTGTTGATATGCTCTTTGATGGAAAGATTCTGTTTACCCTTCATATCTTTAACAATTTTGGTCTGTGCAGTCTTATCTGTGTCATGATCTAGAAACTGCCCAAAGGTCATCATAGCTATTGTGTGTACAGCACTGGGGAGGTCTTTGTCTGTGTGGACAGCATGGGACACCCTCCTTGCACTGGGAAGAGCATTCCCTGACTTGGTCCGTCTTGGTACATCAATACCTGCAATCGTGATAGTAGTGATAATTTGTACAGTTGAACATATCCAACAACGTCTTCAGTCTTCACGAGATGACAAATCTGACAGTGAAGTTACATGTACATGTACATGTACATCTGTACATGTATTTGATGTTATTGTTTCAACATCACTGGTGATCCACTCAATTACGCTGGTTACCGAAACGATTCAGAACATCGAAGGCATGATTTTTCTTTTTTTCTTATTTCGCACGTTGTAGGCAGAATTCCCACGACGTGTTTATCACAAACGTGTATCAGTATCATATGTTTAAGAAAATGTACATATTTGCGAACAAATAGTTCAGAAGACAACAGAATCGTCGATTAATTCCTCACTTAGTTACATAAACGGTATTTCGAAAAACAGTTAAGATCTGCACTTTTAACATAAACCGTTTATGTAAGTGCACAATTAAATCGACGATTCTGTTGTCTTCTGAGCTATTTTTTCGCAAACGTACTTTTTCTAAAAAATATGATACTGATACACGTTTGTGAGAAAAAACGTCATGGGGATTCTGCCTACAATGTGTGAAATAAGGAAAAAAGAAAAAACGTACCTTCGACGTTCCGATATTTTGTTACCGAAACGAACCGTTTAGCGTAATTGAGCGGATCACCAGTGAACATACAGAAAAACACAGATGATCAAAAATGGACAGATCAATTTACTATACAAGTGCAGATAGCCTTTCTACGCACAGTACATCCCAACACTAAGTTTATTTGGGCGAATGAGACTCATGGTCTTATTTAGGTATGAGACAATTGGTTACCATCAGCATAATCAGCAGGCAGGAGTCTTCTGAATGGAGTAAAGGACTTTCCCCACAGAGGGTGCTGCAAATTGTTACATGAGCCATCCATAGTCCTGAACTTAGCTGTTCTGTCACATCTGTACTTCTCTGGAAATGGGCATTCACCAAACTTTGGTTTTGGCATTGGGTCATCACCATTCAAAACATTTGTGTTGGGTTTCAGCGGGCTCTTCATTGTCTTCAATGTTGTTGTTAGTTCCAGGGGTGTCAATCTGTATCTGCATGCATGAATAAAATTCAGCAATATAAAGATAGATGCACAGCATTCTTATATTTACAGGTTATTATTTTGACATTTTATACAGTACAGTTTTGTGGTGCACATTGAAGATGAGAAGCAAAGAAACCCATCATGAAGTTGCAAATATGATTATATGTATAAAATAAAACTGAACTAGAAGACAGAATATGAAACTCATTTTCCATAAGCGCTGCGCCTATTGCGCAAAATATACACAGGCGTGCCTATTGATAGACTAGATGCGAGTAGAAATAATCTTGATTTACGTCATTAAATATTCAAAATTCAGAAAGTGATGTAATATTTGAAATCTACATGTAAAAGTACATCTAAAAATATGGTTTCGAAAGTTGTTTATCAACTTTGAAAATTTAATTTTGTTTGAAAATGTGACTTCTTATTCGGGTTGATTCCCCATAGACATCATGTTACAAAATCACAAAAAGTGAAATATCTTTCCTTGTATTGGACAGATAACATTTTCTTTTACTGGGCATATTTAAATTGGCATAACTATTAGATACATAAGGGTTATATGAAAATTGAACTACTAAAACAGATGTAATTTAAGTTAAAGTGAACTTTCTTCTATACCCGCCATGCTATCTGACCCGAACGAGCCACCTGGTGGTGAAACTGGTAACTACCTACTCGCATCTGCGTTATTGAATTTGAAAATTAAATAAAAAATTTGTTAATTATTTGAATGTTGTTTTCGCGCTTATTTAAAATAAATTTGATATGTTGTTGTAAAGAATACAATGATAGGTCAATTGTACATGCTGCTTGTAATTTTGTCACCCACTACAGCTCTGATTCTGTCTTTCATGCACCTGGTAAAAATGAATCAATATTTTCTCTTTTAGTGATTTAGGTACACCAAAAATGCTTACATTGATCCAAATTAATTCAAAAAGATTCCCAGGGAGCATGCCCTGGAACCCCCTATATTGTCTTCCCGAGTGGGCATACAAACTCTATATATACTGTAACCCTATGCCCATGGGCCCCATATAAAGTTTAAACTACTTGAGCTTATATTGGAGTTTTACCAAACAAAACGTGATAATTTATGTGAAACTTTTTGTTCGAAATATTGTGAATTTATTTAAGACTAAATTTTAGAAGTCACGCGTTATTATTATCAAAGGCCCACTATACTTAATTTAGATGAAAAAAAGTGAAAAATAATCATTGAAACATGTTACTCACACAATCGCTCAAATATGACATTTAGTTTGATTTGCTTTAATATTGAACCAAGAAAAAAATAATTCACATAGAAAGAAGCATTTGAAGTTCAAAGATCATTAGTAGCGCATGCTCATGCTAAACAAAGTGCATGTTTTAAATATTACTCTTGATTTGAAAGATGAAAATACTTATACTATTGATGGAAACTTAATTTGAATTTAATTCCAATACCTCCAAATTTTCTCAATTTTTTTCCTCAATTACAATAGGTCGAAAATTGATGATGAATTTGATGAATTTTTGAAAATCGACATTCCCATGTAATCCAATGGGAAATAGTAGGTTTGCCGCAAGTCATATGACAGAATATCCATCTATCCGAATCCTTGCAAAAAATACAATTTAGGCAGGTAATTGAATTTGCTAACTTTATTTAACAAAAAATTGATATGTTCCTTCAGGTTCAACAAAGTTATAGGGCTTTAAAGTCAAAATTGTTTTTCAAAAAACCTCTCCCATTGAAATAACACAGGAGGCGAAAAATTATTTTCAAAAATGACTTTGAAGCGCTGTAACTTTAATATTCATCAAATAAACTAAACACTTAGTGTTCAAAAAGGTTAGACAATTCAATTTTCTATATAAAAATATTTTTTGCTGAATCTTTTACTGAAAAGATATCCTGATTTCTGATTTGCCCCGAACCCTCAATTTCCCATTGGATTACATGGGAATGACGATTTTCAAAAATTCATCAAATCTATCATCAATTTTCGACCTATTGTAATTGAGGAAAAAAATTGAGAAAATTTGGAGCTATTGGAAATAAAGTCAAGTTACGTTTCCATCAATATTATACGTTAATATATCGCCGGTTAAGTAAATAAAAATTCAAACGTAAAGAGGCTTTAACACGTAGTTCAATGGAGAAAAAAGGTTGCCAAACTTATGGAGGGTAGTGTATCATGCAATACAAACAACTGCGCCATCTTTAAATGACATTGATAAAAACTTGATATATAAAGCTATCTTGTTGGTGTCAAGTGATCAATACATTGGACATACTATGAACTTCAAATGGAAGTCTTAATTTTGCCAAAAAACGTTGAAAATACACAAATTGGGCCTATAATAAACGACATATCACACAAATGAATGGCATTCATCCTCACACGTTTTGTAAAAAAATAAAATTGCGTGATAAATAAGTGAGAAATGAACTCAACCATGTATGAAAGTGGTTCAGAGAAAATGCATTTTAAAATGGTAGAGTAATATAATATATTCTTCTTTTCCTAGTTAGGCAATCGAGGTTTAGCATATTTAGAAGATTTACATACATGGGGATAACAACACAAGATACTTTTGGTATGCGCCACTAAAATCGTTTCCGATCCATAAGACGTGATATCCAATCTTATCCAACGGATACTATTTTAAGAAAAATTGTGATAACCACGTGTTTAACAATAAAGTTCCATGGTTATGTGCTCAGTAAAAATGAGTTACCTTTTTCATGCAATCATTTCTTAAAAATAAGTTCACAGAAAATAAAGTGAAAAAAATTAAAAAAGAATTATAAAAACGTTTAGGTATAATAATTATATAAGTCCATACAAAAATAGCGACCATAGGAAAAATATGATATCCTATGATTTTCTCGGCTATCATATTTTTATCCACTCTTGGATATCGCCGCTCTCAACTCATTCGCTGCGCTCAGTAGTGGAGATGGGCGATATCCACTCATGAATAAAAATATAGGATGTCCTTATTAAATAGTGTGTCCTTTATTCTATCTATTCAATGATGTTAAAAAGACGATGCGTTTTGCACTTTACAGTGGAGTATTTGATGATTTAAAATTTTTAACTTTTGTTTGAAAAATGGAGCGAAATCTGAATTATTCGAGAAATAAAAAATTGACAATTTTTTTCCTGAAAAATCTCTCAAATAACTTTTAAAGTCATGAAAAGTAGTGTATGGATGATAAAAACATATTTTCAAATAGCATGGGGCCTTTAAAGCACTTGAATTTTTGAGCCACAACCTGTAAATCAACTGATTTAATATGTTAAATATACATGAATTATGCCTCTCAATGTATAAATACCAAAGAGTCCCACTAACGGCCTCTTTAAAAGCTTACTTTTCTTTGATAGTTTTCATATAGTAGAATTGTTGTGAAGCCGGCAAGGATAACTGCTTAACATAGGGAGTAGAGCCTAGAAATCTAGTCACTGACAGGTAGGGACGATCAATATCTGAAATAAAGTTCATTTATTTATTAATGTGCATTTTGAGAAATAACTTTGCATGAAATCAATTTCCAAAATAACTCTGATTCATATATGATTCTGAATATTATGGAAAGTCCTGTTTGGTGGGATCATTTGGGTCGAATTCTTGCTTAACAAAATATTATTACATGTAATAAAGTTTTGACAATTAGTTTTTCATAGGATGAAAAACTTGCGGTTACATCTATGAGCTAGAATATCATGTCTTTATTCTCCCTACATTTCAGCTGGCATGACTTTTTTTGCTAGAGGCAACAGGTTCTCTATAAGGAGAAATGCCAGAGGATATTTGACTTACAGAACAGGTATGGTAGACCGTATGTTCTGTCTCAATCAGTAATAAATAAATGCTTCGTATGCTGTTTTACATGTACATGTTGGTATACTGTATTGAATGTTATAGAACCCTAAAGTAATAATTGCAAATGATAATAACAATCAAAATATAAATATTTCAATTTGAAGTTCTAAACATTTATAGGCGTAGCCAATCTCTATATATTTTATTAGAGATTTTACATTTTGGCATGCCATCTCCTGAACTAAGGTGAACTAAGGTCATGTGATCATTTATATCCAATTAGAATGCATTTCTGCCACATAGTGATAGCATAGTGATCCAAAGCTAAACCAAGGCGTAGGAAGGGTTTATATTATCATATAGAAGGGGTGCACTCTTCTGATTGGCCATGGTTGACATGCATGTTTGCCAACTTAGTACTGGTAATAAAATACATTCAAACTACACTGATGCCTGCATCACATTTGCTCTGTTTGTTCAAAATTGTATTCAATTTTGAACAAAATACTCAATCGGCAGGGCGCCGTAGTGAAAATCGGAGCAATCGGCATTACTTGTACACAGTGCATACCAATAGCCCATTTTCAGTATAGCAATTTCTAAGAATGGTTTACACATTTTATAAAGAAGGGTTTCGAAAATGCTCCATCATGGAACACCATGACCCTCTCTTCTTGCATCATAGACACAGACATGTTTTTAGATGCGATGTGTATCAGAATGAAACTGCTCTGGCTTCCTATATAACTTGGCGAGAGCGTGCAAAGTACTTTCTTGATCACTAAAATAAATGCCACTGTCACGTGAACTCTGCATTTAATGTAAATCCATTAAATATTAATCCTCTTCCTATCTATCTTATTACTCAGATTGGAATAATCAACATTCTTATAGTCTCTCTAGTTTGTATGATTGTTCAGTATGTATAGATCAAACATCTCAAACGTTGAACTCATATTTTCTCCATTCTTCAGGGTGTATAAACTAACAGTTTGCACTTTCTCCAGTGTGGGTTAACTGGTTAAAGGAAGTAGTTATCAGAAATTTACACAAAACAGGAAATGAAAAACATGTTGATATTCGATTTTTTAAAATACTGAATAGAGTTCTGTTTTGCCCATCAATCAGTTTCACTACTCTCACATATCATTTACATGACCAGGATCACAATGATCATGCTCGAAATGACTCTAAACATCATGTGAGACTTTTCAGCACTCTGAAGTTGTGACTGAAAAATGCTTAAAAAGTTTCCTTTGCAAATGTCGCTAAACAGAATGTTCTGAATTTTTCAGAAAATGTGCCCAATATATAGCTCTAAATCATAGAAGCATTGAAATTTTGAAAAGTTGTCTGAAAGAAAAATTGTGATCATAAAAAGAAAATGGATTGCTTTCTAAATCAGTTTCTCATTTTTTCTATTTCTACGAATGAATTCAAATTTTCAAAGCTCCTATCATTTCAAATAATATATTTGGCACACTTTCTGAAAAATGTAATAGATTCTGTCTGGTGACTTTTCCAAAAGTCCCAACTTTTAACTGTTTTTTTAGTCACACTCCTGTGTATATACTTCCAGTATGTATGAACCGAAACTAGGTTCATTTCCCATGTGCCTAAACTTATATTTTATCTTTTTATTCACCAATGTTTCAGAATCAATATATTGTACTTTCTTCTGTGTATATGAACTACTATTTATATTTTCCCAGTGTATATATGAAACAATACTTTTCAACTGTGTGTGTTGACAAATATCATGTACTTTTTTCCAGTGTGTATGAGCAAACATTATGTACTTTCACCAGTTATTTAACCAATATTCTGTACGTTCTCCACTTTCTATGAACACATTTTATGTACTTTCTCCTGCATGTATGAACACATATTTTGTGTCCATTCTCCAATATGTATAAGCAAATCATTTGTACTTTCTCCATTGTGCATGAACCAAAACTTTGTTCATTCTCTTCCGTGTCTCAACAAATATTTTGTTAATTAATCAATGTGTCAGAACGAATAAAATGTACCTATACCAGTGTGTATGAACAAATCTTATATATCTATAGTGTGTATGAAGAGACAATACGTTCTATCTCCAGTATGAACATGTATACATGTATGAACCAACACGCCTGTGTATATACTTTCTCCAGTATGTATGAACAAATATTATGTACATGTACTCCATTGTTTATGAACACACATTTTGTATCGATCAACAAATAATATGTACTTTCTCCAGTGTGTATGAACGCAGATGTTGTACGTTCTCCAGTTTATATGAACAAATATTTTGTTTATTTATCAATGTGCATGCATGCATTTTTTTAGAAATGTGCCTGTTTGCGTAATTTAGTCAATAAACTATAAGTAAAAACAGTAATGTTTGTGAGTACTTTGAATTTAAAAAATAAGCAATCAAATGACCATATTGAAACAGTTTATGTAAAAATAGAAACATTTATATTCATCCTAACTTTTGTATATTTCAGATAGTAATGTATAATGTGCAGCAAAGCTGTGGTCTTTTGTAATTTAGGGAGTTTCAGCCATGTTAATTTTTCCGAAAATAACATGGCAGAGAAGTATCAAAATATAAGAGGACACAGATATGATAGCTAAACTAGAAAACAAACTAAAATAAAGAAAAGTTAGGATAAATATAAATGTTTCTATTTTTACATAAACTGTTTCAATATGGTCATTTGATTGCTTATTTTTTAAATTCAAAGTACTCACAAACATTACTGTTTTTACTGTAACTATGAATGTCTGCAATAATAGAAAAATTCATAGTGATTTTTTGGGCGTTTTGGTAAAGCCTTTGGTTTGTAATGGGAAGACTGTCTTTATCACTAGAACTGTTCTGCATGGGGTCTTTTGCACATTGATAAGTTATGTACTAGTACATTTACTACATAGATTTGCAAGGTCTAGGTTTTATTCAAGTAACTGGCTCCACTGAGTGTGTATTCAAATGTTGTGCTTATAAAATGTAAAGACCCCTATACTACCTTATGAATGAAAATAAACTCTTCCAAAAGTGATAGCACCTTAGTGCACCCATGCCATCGCAAGGACCTTAGGTTGGCATGCCAAAATGTAAAATCTCTATTGATATACCCACCAAGGGGAGATGTTTCTTTCATTTGCGATCTCATTGTTGTGAGAATCTTCACTCTGAATTCATCCATCATTTTAGGTCCTTCCTTAGTCACTGAAGCAACATCATCCAGTGTCATTCCAATACACATAGCACCTTAGAGATAAAGTTGAAATTCCAACATAAAGTAATACTCGTTTCCCAGTTTGATTTTCAATCATGAGCACTTGGAAATCCAAGATGACATAAAGTGCTTATATGTATATGTTGTTCATTGTTTAAATGAAACACCAAACGCTCATCACTTTCATGTATGTAAAGGGAACCTACCTAGCATTAAACAAGTAAGTGCAACCCTACAAAGGATTCCATACGTTGACTCTACCATGTTGTTTCAGGTCATCAACTCCTATAATGATTGCATCAATGTCAATATCATTTAATATATACTTGTAATGGATAGTTTAAAACTATGCATAAATATATGTATCAACGATCTTGAATTACCTGAGCTTTTAAACCTTGATTAGTAATATATAGTTACACATACGAGAATTAATTAAAACTGATGACCAGCATTTTACAATGGGGCATAAGACAACAAAACAACTCGTTGTTACTCTCAAATGCTTAAGAAAAATGTTAATGAAAATATTCAGTACCCTGTTTATATTCCAACTTCCAACTAAACAAGAGGTTTCCTCATTTTAAATCATGCTCCCAATCATCTTTGCAGTGTAATCCCTGAATGGATGAGATACTGCTACTGGGTTTTATAATCTAGCCTCTCGCAATAATTATGCAAGAGAAAAATCAGACCCTACATGAATAAACAATATACATGGATACTCACCCTAAGAGGTAACAGATTTGATGAGAAATCCCCTTAAAGTCCCTTAAATATCAATCCACTGTGTAGTACTGTTCCAGACCAAGTTAAGGCAAATCTGACATTATATATAATTCAAATCCCAAGACTGTCATAATCCCAAAATACTAGAATTCCTTGATGAGCAATCATTTGGTATCATCTCTATTAACATTGACAGGTGTCTCGGAAGTATTTAACAAATGCACATCGAACATATACTAATTTGCACTATTAAGGCCACTTAAAATCCAATTTTAGTTTTTAAATTAAATCTCATTTCCTTTAGAGTACCTTTAAAAGCATTTTTTCCAAAGTAGATTCCCAAAGAGACAAAAATACATACAGAATATCACATCATGTTGAATAATATCATTTTTTATATATATAAATATACATATGCTTCTATGAACTTTTTCTAATGTCTATAATTTCATTAGTTTTATCATTACTTAACACCATATGTGAGATACAGATAAACTATATTGTAAAGGCCTTAAGCAATTATTAGACTCCAGATTTTCATCTGGAGTCTATTGTTTTCGTCAGTTTTTTTCTTCTTATTGTTTTTCTAAACAAGTTTTCTCATTAACCGTAAGACTTTCAGTAAAGACATTCATATGGTCGATTAAGGTTTAGTATCTAGTTCCTCGGGAATTGGGTCAAATTTCAATCTAGGTCAAAGGTCAATATCTAGGTCAAAATATCATTTTGTCCATTATCTTTGTCAATTTTCAATATTGTTGTGAGAATCTTCACTCCGAGAGAGTATGCCATCCGTTTTTCGATTACTATTTTACCGTTTTGAGATATTTAACGTCAAAAATCGGTAAAATAGGTCATTTTTCAAATTGATTTAATTTGAGCAATTTTTACAAAAATCATCTCCAAAGTCTAATGATTATTAATCGAAATTTGACCTCTGGTTCAGATTCTACACCATTTTGAAAGGAGTGGTATCGATATGGAGAATACACGTTTCTCACCAGTCATAAAAAATCTAAAAATGTAACACATCGTTTAATGGTCATCTTTTGAATGGAAACAATATAATTTTGAAAATATATATATATACTTTCAGCTATATTGTTTCAGAAAATACATCAAACACTTCTTTTTTGTTCTGTTCTTGGTATCATGTTTAAAGATTGAAATGAAACATCTTTCCGATCCTCATTGGAACAAAACGACATAAACACAACATGTTTAGGTCTCTCAATAGTGTAATTGTACAAAGGAAATTTTGGTTGATTTTAAAAAAGTATCTTGTTAATGAAATAAAAGGTTTATCTTGATTTTTATCTATATTGGGGGGATTTTGTTTTAATTTTTTGAATACTTTTTTAAAATCAACCAAAAATTCCTTTGTATAACTATAATAATGAGAGGTCTAAAAACATGTCGTATAGGCTATTTTGTTCCAACAAGGTTCGGAAAGACATTTTATTTCATTCTCTAGAATTGGTAGAAAGGAGCAAAAACAATTGCACTAAAAAAACAAAAAATGTTAACAAAAACAGTTATATAAAATATTTCGTGTTTTGAACGTGTGTTCAAAAGGTTCTCCATATCGATACCACTCCTTTATGGAACGGAGTGTAAGTCAAGAGTATAGGAAGACAAAGACTGGAAAAATACCATTGTCAGCCAAGTCATGTCAGTCAGTCAGGTCATCAGTTAGGTCATCAGTCAGGTCATTTGTCAGGTCATCAGTCAAGTCATCAGTCAGGTCATCAGTTAGGTCATCAGTCAGGTCATAAGTCAGGTCATTGGTCAGGTCATCAGTCAAGTCATCAGTCAGGTCATTAGTCAGGTCATCAATTAGGTCATCAGTGAGGTCAGTCGGCCATGTCATCAGTTAGGTCATCAGTCAGGTCATTAGTCAGGTCATCAGTCAAGTCATCAGTCAGGTCATCAGTTAGGTCACCAGTCAGGTCATTGGTAAGGTCATCAGTCAGGTCATCAGTTAGGTCACCCGTCAGGTCATTGGTCAGGTCATCAGTCAGATCATTGGTCAGGTCATCAATTAGGTCATCAGTGAGGTCAGTCGGCCATGTCATCAGTCAGGTCATCAGTCAGGTCATTAGTCAGGTCATCAGTCAAGTCATCAGTCAGGTCATCAGTTAGGTCACCAGTCAGGTCATTGGTCAGGTCATCAGTCAGATCATTGGTCAGGTCATCAATTATGTCATCAGTGAGGTCAGTCGGCCATGTCATCAGTCAGGTCATCAGTCAGGTCATTACTCAGGTCATCAGTCAAGTCATCAGTCAGGTAATCAGTCAGGTCGTCAATCAGGCCATCATTCATGTCAGGGCAGGTCATCAGCTAGGTCCTATTCAGGTTAGGTCAGTCAGTCAGTCAGTCTTTAAAGAATCTGTCATCTGGAGTCTGAAATTAAACTTGTTCAATTTCCAACGTCTAGTTATTAGACTCCAGATGTCAATTTTTTTTTTTTACATACTTCATATTTATTTCTAAAAATCAATCGGTTACATTTTTACAAATTGCCATTGTTGACAGGACAACATTATCGGCAATTGAAACATTTTGATAAATAAAAATTGATATTCAGAAATACACAAAATGTTCAGCGAAGCTTTTTCTTTTTTTGTTGTTGTTTGGTTTGCTTGTTCCCCAGTACCAAGTTGTGGTATCGAGCTCAAATGTTAAAAATTATCCTGTCCCAGACTTAGTATAGCTTGAAATGTATAGTGAGCAGTGATTTCAATCAGTTTTTCATTTGTTTCAAAGTCCAAATTTTCATCTCCATTTAATAGAAAATGTGTTTTCCTTTGAATTGAGTATGCTTCAAAATCTCGTAAACAGTCCAAGTCTGATAGTCCTGCAAGAAGAACTTCACGTTCATTAAGAAGCAGTGGACACTTGATTAAAAAGTGTTCAGTGGTTTGGAATTTTTCACCACATTGACATTTGGGATCTGTTACCGACAGGAAATTATGAGAATAAAAGTGACTGTTCAAAAGTAGACCAGCTCTTAGTCTATTAAATTTGATTTCTATTTGCCTTGGCATGCACCTAGTGTCATCCAGCATCCAGATGTCAATCTGGAGTCTATTGTTTTTGCCAGTATTCTTATTCTTCTTATTATTATTCTCCAAGAGTTTTTTCAATAATTATAAGGTATCCAGTAAAGACCATTATACAATTTGTTTGAGTACTAGATCTAGTTGGTAGGAAATTGGGTCAAAATTTTATCTAGGTCAAGGGTCAAGAACTAGGTCAAATCCAGTACTTCATCACTTTTTTCGATTTTCTACGTCATCCTTCAATATTTTGGATCCGGATTTTTTTCATTGTGTTCCTCTTAAAAAAGTAGTATGAGAAACACGATTTAGTTTTTTGATATCTCGAACCGTTTTCGAGATATCAGTGTCCGAATCCAATGTCCGGGATATTAGTCTTATTGGAAATTGTTCAGGATTCCGAATCTGAAAACCGAATTGAAATCTGACTTCCGGTTTAGGAGTTATGACGTTTTGAAATTTCGAGAAAAATCGATCTGATGATTACCTTGTAGAAAGTCAAGAGAAGTGAAGATAAATTGAAAAAACACCAGTCCAGTCCATTTCCAGGTCCAAGTCAAGGTCCAGTCCAGGTCCGAGTCCAGTATTTGTCCAGGTCCAAGTCAAGTCTAGGTCAAAATCCAGTCCAGGGCCTAGGTCAAAATCTAGGTCGAATTCAAAGATTTTCCTTATTTTTGCGATTCTGACACTACACTTTAATTATATTCTTCGAAATTGTGTGTACATGTAGCCAAGAGTGTGCTTATAGTGTTAGCTTTTTGCCGTCAGAAAGTATTTTGACCCACTTTTGAGATATGGTGTCCGAAAAGTAGGTCAAAATAAAAAGTTCTCCAAATTTAACATATGAGCTATGAAATAGGTATAGAATTATATTATTCTCAGGAATCCGAATCTGCAAACCAAATGTCAATCCGAGTTCCGCTTCGGAAGTTATGGCGTTTTGAATTTTCGAGAAAAATCGATCTGATGGTATCCTTATAGAAAGTAAAAAGTAGAGAAGAAAATATTGAAAAATTCCTATCCTTCCTTTCTATTCTATTCTATTCTATTCTATTCTATCCTATCCTATCCTTTCCATCCTATTCTATCCCATCATTCCTTCCTATTCCATCCTATCCTTCCTTCCTATTCTATCCTATCCTATCCTATCCTATCCATTCTATTCTATCCAATCGTTCCTTCCTATTTCATCCATCCATTCAACTTATTCTGGATGACTCGGCTTATTCTGGATGACTCGGCTTATTCTGGATGACTCGGCTTAAAAAAAGTCTAGATCTGGAGTCTGAAATTGAACTTGTTCAATTTCCCAGGTCTAGTTATTATTATAATTAATTAAATTAGAGGGAGTGTGCCAGTAATGGCATCCATGGTTCTAAACTGAACATCATCTACAGAGTGGAACATAATATCTACTTTTTAGGCTAGCAAATAACTAAAAGTGCATTTAATTCAAGTTGACACTGATGTCTAGGAGAAGCAAACATAATGCAACGAGTGAATCTTGTGTTATACTTATATATTATATATATACCATGTATATATGTGGATTCATTTATCTAATTTGTACGAATGTCCTGGGGCCAAGTGTTTTAGATTCTTAACATTTATTCATCTAAAATTAAACATTATGAAATTAATATATATCTGATAGATTTATCATGTACTTAGTAAGTTAGTAAATGAGGATCTATTATACTTTGGATGTTTATACAGCGTTTGTATCGTTCAGTTCACAAAAAGCATGTTTCCGGGGATCGCTGAGTGGGAGATAAAGCAGGAGATATATAGAGATTATCCTATATGAGGTTCAGGATATTGGGATTATCCCGAGACCAATATAATATATCTGCCCGAGGGCAAAATATTCATGTCCAGTTTTCCTTGCCGTGGCCAGATTTTCCTGTTCTTTCAGATATTCATCCACATTTAGTTTCTCGAACCGTTGATTATTAACAGGGATGCGTATGCTCCTTCCCTTCTTTAACAGATCGCGATTGTCTGCGTTTTTCTTAATTGCCATTAACAGTAATTATGCGAACGATCAAAAAATAACAAAAGCGTAGCTGGCAGATATACTATATCGCTGATGAAAATATATAGGGATTATCCTATATAAGGTTCAGGATATTGGGATTATTATCCCGATGCCAATATAATATATCGGCCCGAGGGCCGTAGGTCCAATGATACTACTACTTCCTGGAATAACAACCGGGAATATTTTTGATATTATTAAATTTTGA